CTCCGACCTCGGCTAGTCTCGGTGAGCTCACGGGTGGTTCGCTCAATCGGAGGGATAAGTGAAGGATAGAGGGAGGGTTAACGATATTAAACCGACCGTACTAATGTGGGTAAAATAATTATATATTAACTTCTTTTTATACACGGTAGTGTTTAATGGGTCGGTATAACGCGGTACTTGACTCGACTTTGGGACCTTGACTTGACTTGGTTCTTAGTTGGCTGAAGGCCTGAGCTCAGAGATCTTCTCTGTCCAGCTCCCGAACGTACTCTGGCGTACTCTGGTGCTTCCCGAGTCGTCCAAACTCGTCAAAGCCCCAAAATGCTTACCTAAACAATCCCACGGTTTTCTTCACTAATATGGTTTCGTGCATTTGTTTATATAGAAACCTACACAGTCAAACAGTTCAGCACCCTGAACTGGACCTGTAAAAACCGTGGAACTGCTTACGCTGGTGTCCATGGGACACCGTGGGACTGCTGAGCAATCTTTGGATGAAGGGAATGAGAAACCTCGTTTCCCATTCCCATCGTCCACCACTTTGGGCATAATAATTATAATTATTAAATAAATCGACGTATTGATCGATCTCAATACGTCACATACGAAATAAATTTTTTTTTAAATTGAAGAAATAGTATATTTCAGTACGAGCGTGCGGTGAACGTTATCCATCTCCTACGAGTCAAAAAACACTTTTCCGTCATATCTGCAGGGAAAGTTAGATTTTCTTTCCCAAATGACGGCGGGAAAGTGGGTTATTTAATTCCTCGGATTTTTGTTATTTTCGACGATCCTAGAATTAACACAACCCGCGTTCCTCGCTGCATTTATAAAGAAAAATCGAACTTAACCATGCAGTTATGACGAACAATAGTATATGAACCTAGGATGGAAAATAGGACATCAGAATCCTCGGCTTCGCCTTGAGCAGCAGTCCGTATGCGGTTGGAATATCCTGTTTTCCTCCCTTGGTGCCGAATTTAATATTCCCACGAGTGTCGAACCCTATTTTTCATCAGAATCTGAAAAGTAGAATTTTGCACGCACGGAGCGAGCATAGAATTGCTTTTTACACACAAGTGATGAAAAATAAGATTTTGAAGGCGCAGAATTATAACTGGTATCTTGAGAATGTGAAGAGATATGTATCGTAATCACGAAAGTTGGACACTTGAAAAGTCTCTCTGCACTTTCTCGTAACATCACTCATTACCAAGATATTATGATGAATGACAAGATGAACTACTCTACATAAAATATTATGACCATTTCTTCGTGATTATTTTAGGATAAGGAATCCTGCGAAAGAAATAACTAAAAAAAATCTCCACTTAAATAATTCCAACACTTTACTAGTAATTAACGATTGATCATTCAATAATTCTGCAGTAACTGGCATATACGTAAAACGTATATTTGGCCTTGAGCTTGGTGTTGACGATGCTAGTATGGTGCACGCGCAACCCCTCGAAGATTTCGGTGGTCTCCATCCAGATCCAAATTTGACTTATGCAGCAGATCTTGTGAACACTGTACGGGATGGTACTCACGATATGGGGGTGGCTTTTGATGGCGATGGAGATAGAAATATGGTAATGATGAATGACTCGCATGTAATATTTTTGCATCCTTCTGCAATCGTAAAAGATATTGCTCTACCATATAATTTGTGTCAATGAATTACTTCTGCACTTATTATTTAATTCTGATTCATTGAAACTTTTTTACTCAAAACTTTCCTGGCTACCCACGAAATTTCTTGATATTTGCTTCCCTTGCGATGAATTCATAATTCGGGAATGTTTTGCATTTGTTTCAAATATTTAATGACTTTACTGTGGATGAATTCACAGATAATTGGGAAAAAAGCATTTTTCGTTACACCGACAGACTCCGTTGCTGTGTTGGCAGCTCATCTGGATATCATACCATACTTTCAAAATACTGGAATCAAGGGATATGCAAGATCGATGCCAACCGGTGCTGCTATAGATCGTGTGGCTGCTGAAAAAAAAGTCGAATGCTTCGAAGTGCCCACCGGATGGAAATATTTCGGTAGTTGAACAACTCTTTTTAAAATACAATTTAACCTTCAATTCGATCCTCTAATAAAGAGGAGAATTGAATCCCTATGTTGATAAGATAACCAGTTCAAAAATAAGAAATTTAAGAACTCATAATTTTTTGAACTTAGGACATTTTCTATAGAAAAAACGTTTTTCTTATTCGTTGGTGAGAGGTTTCTGCACAAAATCCATTTAATAAATTCCTCGATCAAAATTGTTCCGGAAAATATTTCTTGGCTCTACAAAGTGAGGCATCATTTCCAAATCCATTCCGAAATATGTTCAAACGAATGGGGAACCTATTTCGGAATGAAAACTCGAAATTAAGAAACTGTAAATAAAGAAATTACGTATATTCGCAATTGAAACTAAGTCAGTGGAACGCATCAGCAGTTTTCACAGATCGGCTTTTGGAACTCATTCGCAGGGCCTTATGACATGCCATGCAGATGTGAGGTAATGACTGAGACGTCAGAGTCAGGAGTATAATAAATACCTATGAGTCTGTTGCTTCGGGGCCAGTAACTTCACGACAGTCATCATCAGCTTTCATCTAATACCTTCTGTATCGGAATGAATGTATTTAAAGTTCTCGCCACGAAAGAAGGAACCTCGCTGGGTACTCCCACTCTCCTGAATTCAGCTTTCAATCCGCGGCCCCCACCACTCAAGCCGAGGTTACTTCTTTCGTGGCACGGACATTAATGTGAACTTCGCGGATTTTGATTAAAAATGAAAGAATATTATTTAGTGATTGTCGCGTATGAATCATTCCATTAAGGCCCGCATGGAAGGAATTTTTATTAACGTGGCGATTTTACGCCCTCCCACTTTACGGTGAAAGAGAGAAGCTTTATATTAGGCGCTGCTGTGTCGGTAAAAAGGAAAACGCCAATAAAGCGAGGCCGAAAATCAGACCGGAGATTGTCTGGGGTCCCGAAAATATTGCGGTAATTTTTTAGTAATCTATTGATTACATACTTAGCAGCGAAGGGTGGGGGGGGGGGGAAGGGATAATTCATGAACTCGTCAGGGAAAAAAAAACTAATTCAACGAGTGTCTGGTGGATAAAAGGGTCGAAAGGGGAGAAATAAAAAAACGCTCCGGTGAAACTGACGTGATGAGAGAGAGAGGAGGAGGATAATAATAATGATAATGATAATAATGATGACGATAATAATAATAAGAATAATAATCAATGATGAATAAGATAATAGGAGAGGGAGGAGAGAACATTGCAATCCGGGTGTAATAACTTTGACCCCTCTTTTCCCTCTTCCCCTCTTCCTCTATTGTCAACCCCTTCTCTATGTCGCCCCTTTAGGGATTCCCTAGGGGAAAAGTCAATTCACGAGAACCCTAATTGTGGGGATAAAAAATGATTACAAAATATGATATGACCATAAATGAACAGGTAATGACCTCCGGGAAGTCGGTAATTGGGTCTCAGAGGGGTGAAAACCGTAACTAGTGCATAATCATCGGATGAAAACTGTCACTAGATCATCTGTTTTAATACCCATCACAACACAAAAATGGCGGTCAAATCACTCGCGTAAAAAACTAACAATTATATTTCCTAGAAGGACTTCATCACGAGGAGACCTAAATACCGCCCTCTGAGCTATTATTTCGCATTTTTTCTGTATTTTTTTTTACCTATTATTGTTGACAGGTCAAAGAAGTAAACTTGATAAACCTATTATACACAAAACGTACATAACTTTATTGAATTAGACAAAAATGCAAAGAGCATGGAAACTTTGGTGTTGGCATGGTAGCCATTTTCTTGTAATAATAATTATATGAATGTCGAACAGGCTATGCATGGTGGGAAAAAACTAGAATTAAATTCCCCTAGTACAAAACAAAATACCCCACAGGTTATGACCGATGGTTTCTAACATCACTCTCATCTTGAGTTGGAGATTTAGACATTTTTTTTTTCAGGATATCCAACTCGACAATAAAACCATCGACTCAATATCTTTAACGTCGTAATTTTATAGGAACTTTCGCAACTCATCCAGTTCTCGTAGTCACAGCTTCCTGAGTATTCGCCTTCATCAGTTGATCCTTGGAATCAGCTTTCACTCTTTTCTGCTTATGTTTGGGTCCAACCACCCTCCAGGGTGGCGGAACAGACTCCTCGTCACCTTGACCACCAACAGAATCACGGTCAGGTGGCGGTTAGCTTTTGTCATTTCACAAGGATACAACCTCTGTATGGGTCTCACGAGAGTTTTCCTGTTAGCAGCAACCCTCACTTTAACAACTCGAATGTTTCCGTCCTTTCCAGGATAGACTTCAACAACTCGGGCTAGAGGCCATTCCAGTCGCTTGTAGTTGTCAGCACCCACAAACACCAAGTCCCCCTTCTTGATGTTCACATTAGCCCTTTTCCCATAACTTCTGCGTGCTAATTGTCCGAGGTATTCCCTGCGGAACCTGTCACGAAGCTCGTCCCTCAATCACTGCCTGTACTGGATGCGTCTTCGCAGCGCCTGGGCATCCACTTTGTCAATGTCGGGCACACCGTGCTGTCTCAAGTCCCGCAGAAACATATCTGGCGTGAGAGGGATCAGCTGCTCGGAATCCTCAGCCAAGTATGTCAATGGTCGAGCGTTGATTACTGCCTCACAATCACATAAGGTGGTCTGGAGCTGCTCGTAGTTGAGTGAGACTCTTTTCAGGGTCTTCCTCAGCAAATCTTTAATAACACGTACCAGGCGCTCCCACCATCCTCCCCATCAGGGAGCAGCTGGTGGATTGAAACGCCATTCGATTTTGTTCACCACACCTCGCTCAGCAAACTCTCTCCAATCGATCTCTCGCAACTCTCTGGAAGCACCAACGAAGTTGGTCCCGTTGTCACAATAAATAACAGAGGGACGACCTCTACGAGCGATGAATCGTCTCATTGACTCCAAAAATGAATTCTCTCTAAATTCTAAATTCTAATTCTCTTAGAATTCTTTAATGCCTAAAGGAGGTTAGGCGGTGTTTGAGGTGAATTTGAGAGTGAATTTCTGTGGTTCCCGGTAGCTTAGTCGGTAAGAGTGCCCGGCGCGTATCTGGGAGACCCGGGTTCGATTCCCGGCTGGGTGAAGCGGAAATTTTTTCTCTCTAAATTCTAATTCTCTTAGAATTTTTTTTTTTTTGTGGATAACGAGGTTACCAACTCCAAATGGACTGCCCGATAAACAGCACAGGTGTAGAGCACAATCCAACCCTTGCGTCCATCCTTGAAGTACACAGGCCCCGCCAAGTCCACTCCCGTCACTTCGAATGCTGCTGCATCTCTCACTCTGGCTTCTGGCAGAGCCACTGGCGTCCACTCGAGTCTCTTCACACTGTATCGCTTACAGGTGACACATTGGCGAACAACAGATTGGACTGCGCGTCTGCACGAAAGAATCCAGAAGTCCTCTCATAGCTTGCACATTGTCACCTCGATCGAACCATGATTCAGGGTGAGATGGCGCAGATATATCAACTTCTGTACCAAGGGGTGGGGATGGTCCAAAACAACAGGCCATCGAAATCCTAGAGTATCGTCTCTATGGGAAATAAGTGATTTCAAACGTAAGAGTCCTGCTGTGTCTTTGTAGATCGTCATTCCAGTGAACCGAGGATCATTCACTCCTGAGAAACTCTCTTCTTGTACTAATCTCAGGAGGGTCAACTCGCCTTGCTCAACCTCTTGAAGACACAACTCCCCTCTGATACGTTGATCAGGATTCTTTCTGCAATTAGCCAGGAATCGTTGGATCCATGCCACACGCCTGACAAGTTGTGTGTAACGTGAGAACTTTGACATATACCAAGGCACCTCCCTGTTTGGTTGTTGACATTGAACATTGCTCACGACATGACAGACCGTTGTACACGCCACCACACTTTTATCAGATGTCTTCTTCTTACTAGTGGTCTTCTTAACCTCTTTTTCAACTTCTGCTTCATCCATGTCACCAGAGGACTTTCGCCACAGTGCAGGAGGAAGCCTTAACCAGGCAGGACCTTCGTGCCAGTGGGATTCAATCAGTTGCCTGGCGGTACATCCACGTGATGGCAGGTCTGCTGGATTAAGACTCCCTGGAATGTGGCTCCACGACGCTGGATTCGTGAGGGTGCGAATTTCTTGAACGCGGTTCCCCACGTCAGTACCCCATTCTTTATCTCGCTGAATCCAAGCAAGCACTGTTGACGAGTCAGTCCAGAAATATTGACGTACCTGGGTGTAATTCACGGCAGACACTACCGAGGCCATGAGGCGGGCTCCCACCGTCGCCGCCAGCAACTTCAGCCGAGGAATCGTGGGCTTGTCCTTGGGTGACACTCGAGACTTAGCAACGACAAAGTAACACTCCGCTTTGTCACCCAGCTCTACTCCGGCATAAATTACAGAGGCGTACGCTTCCTGGCTGGCATCTACGAATGCATGGAGAGAGATTGATGCCTTCTCAGGTCCTCCTCCGAACGCCCACCTGGGTATTTCTAACTATTTCAACCAAGAGAGCTGATCCAACCAATGACTGAAGGCCTTCTCGGTGTCCTCATCCACACGAGTATCCCAATGTATTTCTTCACACCACAGCTTCTGTAATAGTACTTTGGGGCAGATGAGGACCGGACAGATCATTCCGAGTGGATCAAATAGGCTTTGCGTGGCAGAAAGAATCGTTCTTTTGGTGATGTCTGCTGGTCTCTCCTTCCTAATGACTGCATCAGCTAGTGCCAACGTGTCCGCCTCACGATTCCAGACGAGACCCAAGACAGGGCTCATCGCCGATGGCATCTCCAACCCCGAATGCTCCCATCCTCTCAAGTCAAAACCTCCAGTCCTGAGCGTCTCGGTGGCAATTTCTTGAAATCCCTGAAGCTCTTCTGACGAATGGACACTTGTGATACAGTTGTCCACATAGAAAGATCCTCTCAACTTTTCCATAATAATCACCTCAGCCTGAGATTCTTCCTTTTCTATCGCTC